TACGGGAGGAGGGTGGATCACGAAAAACAAAAGACTTACGGCGTCTGCCACGAGGTGTGCGGGCGGGAGGGCTGCCTGCAAGTGTCCACTCTTCAGCAGGGGGTCGGCGAGGCCTGCCACGCTGGCGTGTAAGGGGCTCGGGTGGAGAGGAAGATGTGGGGTCGTAAGGTGGGCCGTGGATAGGAGCGGTTGCCCGTGAGAAGCGGCAAAGGCCGAGGAAGAGGGGTGGGCCGCGAAGGGCGAAGTCGTCAAAGTTTGGGTGTTCAGCGAGGGCGGGGTGGGCCCGGCAGCGGGCGCGGACAATGGCAATACTGTACTTACGTCCGAGTGAGCGGGCACCGCGTAATTACCCTGGATGGTGTAGGCTTGCCCACCAGCCAGGATCACTGGCCCACTAACTTGGGGTTTGGGGCGATAAGGGATCGTGGCACCTTTGGGAGGGGACTGAAACAGAAAAGAACAGACCGCACGAGTGCGAATACGTTGATCCGGCGCCAATGACGGCGGTTGTTTCCGGTTTTATTTTTATGGTTTCGTTTTGCTGTCTTTTGGTGCTTGGTTAGTTCTGATGTTAACCTTCGGATGACGAATGTAGTGGCATTTTGAGACTGCAGTGCTATTTGGAGATCAGTTGATGGCGAGGAATGTGGGTCTCATTGGTCGGTTTTCATCTTTTCTCAGGTTGTTTTTGATATAATTTATTATTGGTCAATATGGTCACATGTAACTAATCGAAGTCATAAACAAAATCCCTGGTGTCTCGCCACTGTACCGCCCCGCTTGATATCATGATCTCCCAATAGTAGATATTGTGGTATTTTTTTCTTATTTGTTAATTCATTTGCGTGCATACAAGTTAGGTGTAATAGTATATACGAGTTGATTCTGAATGTTCTTTTTTTTCTTTCATAAAAGACATATATCTTAATAGTTTTCATAATAACTCAATATTGTTCATATAATAACTTTCTGTTCCTTTTTGAATTGATAAATCTTGAATATATTATACGTATTGTTTATAAAAAAGGTAAGCAATTACGTTGCATTGGATTTTCAAATTTGATACTACGAAAACTTATTTGTTGAATGAAACTTAATTTTGTGAATCTTTGTTGACTGGTCGCACACAGTAACTAACTGTAGCTTGTATACACACGAAACTTTAATAAATGCAGTTAAAAGTATACACAACAGAAATTCCAATATTAGTCAAAATGACTGTTTGTCATCCGAGGATTAATTCCGTCGATTTTAACACGTTGAATACCACACATCACGTTGATGACCAACGTTGCCTACATTTGTCAATGATGTGTTAGTCACCGATGACCCACAAACAATTTATTTATAGCCGTTTCTTTAACTGAACGAAGGTGTTCGTAGACTTTTTATTACTAATAACATAACCTTAAATTGATAATACGTGGAAAATAAGCGTGTAATGTGTGATAACCATTGAATTAACCCTTTTGCTTGCAACTGTTTTGCTAACATCTAACTGGACACCAAAAGACAGGTTGTTGCACAATTATATACACTTTTTTCTATCATGAATATTTTTTAGTGTCCTGAACAAAATACAAGAAAACTGTTTGGTATTCAACATGTTAAAAATGTCACTCTGGTCTACAGTATTTTGAAAATTAGTTTCCTGGACCAATTCTGAAACTCATAACACGGTGAAACAAAAGAAATATCTCGATGCTAAATTGTTATATTCAATAACACAATGTACCATAAAATGGAGGTATATATTCGTGTGAATTTCGTGCACATGCGCTTCTGAGTTTCAGTTTCAGTCGATCTAACTATATGTTTTTGCAAGCGATAATGATCTTACAATTACAGGTGGATATTATAAAAACTAGAATTTTTAATGAAAAAAGACACAACATGGTCACCGGAAAGAATAAATAAATCTGAAATAACGTTCGAGCTTCTTAAACAACACTGGTAACAGCTGTAAGTCATCAGTTTACATTTTCTTGATAACTCTTTTTATCTGGTATCTTAGTGTATCTGCGACCTTCACTAAATTCCTTGACCACATTACGCCTTCTCTATTAGTTTGATTTGAAATATCGTCAGCTGATACGTTCAAATGCTTTTGACTTAACTTTGTCTTCTTCCTATTCATACAATATCATACAAATAAATATTGAATAATTGATACGATGATGTATGTAATTTAACCGTGGTTCTTCTGTTAAAATTAAATTTACAAACTATAATCTTATAATTATTTCCCAACTCATGAATATAAACATTCTATTTTATTTTATATTTAAACGGAGAAGATTGTTATATACTCTAATAACCTACACTTATTCTACTTAGAAAGTAGAAACTCTCAAAAAACTTGAAAAATATATTTTAACGTTTACTGAAAAACATGACGTGCTCTAGTTCATCAAGCGAAGATACGATTTCACACGTCAGTTATATAAACAGAATCTCTAATTTCTAATCTCAATTTAACAATCCCACCAGCTGATTACACAAATAAATATACTTTTCATTATCATTTCATTGTTTCCAACAGAATGGGGCGTTTTATCGTTACAGCGATAGCGCGTCACAATTTCTGGAATATCAGTATCAATAAAACCACAGTAGAACTGTTCATGAGTCAGTTACTGATCTCTTGGTGTACGTACCAACTGACGAGATTAAATGCGTGATTTCTCATTTGCTCAAAGAACAATTTTTTTAAAAATATTATACCGTGATCACATAAAACATTTCAATAAAAAAATATGTTCTGAACTTCAATGTAACCGTATTTACACATCTATAACTTACAATTTTATATAAATCAGTGTTGCCTAATTAGAAGTCTGGAATCTAGGAACCGTTTTGTACTTCACTGAAATTTGTATTTTTTTATGTTTATAGATCAAGTACAATGAGGGTGTTTACAACGTTAAAGAGTTAATCTAAAGATAAGTTACCGAATGATCGACGTTTAAGATGTTTTAAGGGACACAGGTTGATAAGATTTTTTAGTCTTTAGCCCCGGACTTTATCGCGTGACAAATGTTATCGGTATCTAGTATACACTTGTGTATAAAACGGTCCAATAATTATGTTAGATTATATCTGTGTCTCAAATCAAGTTAATTATTCCAATTACGAGATTATATTCATTGAGATTTTAATCGATTTTTATTATAACATATGAATGAATAAATTATGTTATATACTGATTTTCGATAAAAGAACCTCTACGTTTTCAACAACTTTTTGGAAAATATTAAAAACGTTTGTAAATACGAAGAACGTTACATGTTTCACCTACCTATCGTAAGAGATTAAGATTAATCTATCAATCTATTGACAACACTGATTTAGACCATTTAGGACCCTTGCAAATTGTCATGAACCGATCTGATCAACTGAGGTCACGCAGACCCATGACCAAACCCTGCTAACACAAACCTTTTGATCTTACATCGCTATTTCATCGTTGGTTCTTCATTGCTGGCGAATGTTACATTAATACATTGTTGATCGGCAATTTTACGCTGGAGCGATCCCATGTTACCAATTATTATTTCTTAATTAAATATGAAAGTGAAACAATCTACATAAATTTCAATATAATTTATTTATACATAATGAATTGAAATGGAACTTTGAACGTATCTTTTGCATAACTTCCAATATTTTGCATTGCCCTGCGTTTTAAACATTGAAATAGCCAAGCAGGTGTAAACACGAGTTAACTCGTGACCGGTCAACAATGTATGAACTAAACAATCAAACAATGCAAAGATGGCGAAAAGAATAAGTCATCTGTTCAGGATTGACACATAGCCCTAGTCAAGGGTTAACGAAAGACATCGATGTGGACCAGAGTGACGTATCGAAGATGCCATACCACCGGGATACGTACCTCTAGCATAACACAGCATATGTGATATATGCACTGCGTGATGGCCTCGCTGGTACCGGATATGGTAACCGCACGTTCCGTCGAATTGGGCAGCATCTCAGAGGCGACTTGAATCGAGGCACCGGTCACTTCGCGAATCTCCTTGATCTTCGATCCACCTTTACCGATGAGGGAACCGCACTGGGACGCGGGCACGATGAGCCTGAGAGTGATCGGCGGCCTGGTCGCGCCACCGCCACTTTGGTTGTCGTGGAACTGCGAGCACCATTCCTCGAATTTCTTGCATATTAACGTGAACGCTTTGAAGATCGCGTTCGTCGGCCCGGTGACCGTCACTATACGCTCCTGGCAAGATCCGTCGGAGATGTTGATTTTCGCGCCCGACTGGAATCAGATCGTTTCGCTCGCGTTAGAGACGGGGAAGCTAACGAGTAGTTTTTAACTCTTTGTATTCGAGGGCTCGGTAGCAGAGTCATTTCAAATTTGTCATTACAAATTGTAAAATTTTGCTATTAAATATATTATAACATTTATATTTATAATCGATGAACAACAGTAAAATACATCTATGACTTCCCTTTTCATGCGCGTATCATTTATTTATATGTTAATATCATTTTTCTATTAGAATTATTTGAAGTTGCTGGTAATGTCAGCGAGAAAATGCTTCGAACGCGAAGGGTTAACCTTTAACGCATCGAATGTTGCGCAACTTTGAGCTGCAGAATATGCGAAATGAAAAAAATACAATATTAAATTATTTAATTGAATTGCGTTGTTATTATCGCAGGTTTGTCTTGCTGAATGTCACTGTATTAGGTAGCGTTATTTACAATATAGGAATGTTTGCAAAGAATCATCGTTTAATTGAGGGAATTAGAGTAATTGAATTTGGACGAAGGTCACACGTAACCCCCATGGCACTTAACGCATTAAGTATGGACGTGCGATCTCTTACACCTTTATATAAAATATCGTGAATGTTGAAAGCGATATCAATTTCTTTATATAGATAATACTACGCATTTGTAGAGATATTAATTAAAATGTTTTTATTAACGTTTATGTATGGACGCGCGGCTTCTGAGATCTGTATATAAAATATCGCGAATTTTGAAACCAGTGAAATTTAAATGGTATAGTTGATATTATTGCTATGTATAGATATTTAAATAAGCAATAACAAAGAAATACAAGAAATTTTTTATTAGTTGCTACAGACGAGAATATTTAACATTAATCGGTAATTTTCGGATTTCCATACTTAAAGGTAAAATAACAGTAGACGACGCATGTCATCCACATGATCACTCATGTTTAAAGGTTGAACATATCCATTTGCAAGTCAATCTTCATCAAAAACTAACTTATTTTTTTGAGATTAAAGACGGAAGAATTGATGTATGTAAGGTATCAAGAAATTTAAATACTGAAGAAACTTAGAAGATTTCTAACTCAATGTAGTAATAATTGATGTTATTCGTTGTACATAAGTTAAAGTGAAAGACCATTTTTTATTATATATATTTTATGTATAAAATAAGTGTGCAATAATAAATAAATTACGTAATATTATAAATAATACTGTCAAACATTATAAAAAGTATTATCAAAAATAATATAAATAAAATGTGTAAAATAATATAAATAAAATGTCGTTCTTTATTATAACAAACAAATCTGATCAGCATAGTCATAAAAAGAGCCGTATTTCAAAGGGTTAGTGAGTAAAAATTTCACGGAAGTTAAACCAGTTCTGAAGAGTTAAAGAAGTTTCTTTAAAAGATTGTAACACTGAACAGACCAGTCAAGAGATTTCTTGTTTTCAGTTTCGCTCAGCAGTTACTAAAGTAAATTCATCAAACTCAGTTAATTGAGATTCTGAACACGTTTTTCTTGGGATCTTGTTTTCAATTTTTTCACACTGGTTGAACATTGTAAGGTAAATTTCTTTCAATGCTTTAAAGAAATCAGTACTTCAAATTAAATTTTCAGTTTCTAATACAACATTCGAAATCCGTTACATCACACTGTAGTAATAATTCGTTAGATTGTATGGTTTCCTAAATAAATTCAAATTCCAATTATAAAGTAATGAAATGATATAAAAATTAGCTTTAAAGACTTGAAAACGATAATGAAAATATAACTTAATCAATTAACTCTACATTTGGTATTTATAAGTAAATTTTAAAACATCAAGTAATAGGTAACACTATTTTCAAACTTAAAAATTCGAATATTCATTTTAAAAAATAGGGAACCAACATTCAATAAAAAATGAGAACACTCTTGACTTTTCCTCAACGACTAAACAATACAAAATGGACATTAAACCTTTGCCTTATAACAACGTGTTAATTATAATTTAATAAGCATAAATGTTACTCAATTCTTATGAATTCAAATGAAATATGATTCTTCTGCTATCAATTACACCCCAGAACAAATATGGGCACAGAATAAACCGAGAATTTTTTTTCTTCTTCTATAAATTATTACTGTCGAAGAAGTTATATCAATCATAATTGTGGCAAAGGGTAAAGACAAGAACCACCAGATAGGTGAAAATGATTGATCAATAAACTCTCCGTTTACAATTATTAAAAAAGTAACAGATGCTTATCCGAGAGTTTATTAAAGAAATTGGTTTAGTAACACGCAAACTGAGTGATAAGCGTCAATTGAATTCCCAATAAATGTACTATTATAATTTCTACAGGAGAATTTAGAGTACTCGGTAGTTCTAATGTTAGGTATGTTCGCCGAGTCAGGTCCTCGACAAAGCACAAGCTCGTCATAATCCCGTGAGACAAATAAAGGGTAAATTAAGTCACAATAACTCACCTCTTCGCGGAACCTCTTAACGATCTCTCCTTTCTTCCCAATGATACTGCCGACCTCCTGCAACAAACGACATGATGTTACGTTACAGCATTTACGAGACTTAAACGCACTAGGGACCATAAACTTCGGGACATGTAAGTGCTCGATTGCGCGTATGAGTTACCTCGTGTTATCGAGAACTCGACGACAGAGTATAAACGCTCGTAAACATCAACTTGGTACAGAGTAATTTCAGGACATCTTTTCAATGAATTCACGGATTTACAACAGCTGCGAACGTACAATAAATCTGGGAGGGTATGGTAATGAAGAGCGAGGCAGTACATATTATGTTGTCAAATGGACGAAATTAGAACTAATTTTTTTATTGGCAGGAAATTAAAAATAATTTT